CAACACAAGTCCTCGACTTTTCTTGCATCCCATGTGATCCTCAAAATTGTTTTTAATTTTTTTATATTTTTCTTAGTCATCTTGTCCTCGATATCGTTTTTATTTGGATGTAGCATTAGTTTTTTCATGTAACTCTCATATACTCTGAGGGTCATATTTATGTTATAACTTTATAAAATTTTAAATATTAATATAATTTTTTTATATAATTTAAAAATAAAATAAAATAAAATAAAACACCTTGCCGCAAAAGAAACAACTTAATCCAACGGTCCCAACAAACTCCCTTAACACGAATAAACACTAAAACAATTTTCAAATTCCCCCAAATTTTTCAAACGCTTTCCACTCAAAAACTGTAGAACACACCTACTCCAATGGCGGCGATTATGGATCCAACGGACACCACAACGCCTGTCGCCGCCGAATTTTCAGGTGTCGGAGCCGGCGTCGTCTCGTTCTTCACTGGCGCTTCTCCCGGCGACAATTTAGGTGAGGCAGCCGGCGTAACCGCTGCATCAAAAACAACAATCGAAACAGAACAATCGCTCAGGAATTTTTATCACAAACATTCCAAAATCCAGATCGAAATCAACAGAGTAAGACTAATCGAAAATCGTTTCAGAGAAGAAACAGTACCAGGAGAGCCAATAGGAGAAGTCGACACTGGAAATCAAAAGGAAACAGCGATTTCACAAAAACAGATCAGTTAGGTTTTCTAGGGTTTTACCGAATCGGAAATTAAGAGAGCGATTTTGAAGAAATTAGGCTTACATTTACACTCAGAAAGAGCAGGATCGGATATGTCGCAAGCGGCAGGGAGAGAAAGAGCCTTGGTGACATTGAGGACGATACCTAAAGAAGCGCTGTTCTTGAAGGTATGGCAGAGGCAATCGGCGTTAGCCTTGGCGACGATTTTAAGGCCGAGACAGCAGGCTTTAGCGGGAGTGGTGGTGGTGCTGTCTTTGGAGACGAAGGGGAGACAGTCGGCCAAAGTGAGGATGAGTTTGGAACAGTCCCCCTCCGGCACAAGGGCGGCGTATACGGTGGAGTAATTCACGACCAGAGCGAAAAGAGCGAAAAGAGAGATAGAAAGCTTGGCGGTAGCCATTTCTAAGGAAGAAAAAGAGAGGGAAAGTGGAGAAAAAAGTACCGGAGAACTGGACAGTGTGGCTTGAGGTTGGTGAAGACCATTTATATAAGGAATTTTTTTTTTTATTTAATTTCAATAAATACTCTTACCATAATACCCTTTATATAGTTTTTTTTTTTTTTTTAATACTATTTTTTTAAAGTTTTTGTTAATACTTTTAAAATTTTTTACCTTTAATATTATAAAATATAAAATTTAAATATAGTATTAACACGTTTAACATTTATATAAAAATAAAATTTTTAAAAAATTCGTTACTGAGTATTTTTGAACGGGTACTAACAAATATTTTTTTAATTCTTTTTAAAAAAATTAAAAATATTTTTTTAAAGTTGAAGTTATTTTTTAAACTATTTAAAAAAGTAAATAGTATTTTTAAAACAACATATCAACACTTTCCATTTAAAACCAACCATATTTTTTAATTTTTTTTAAAGTATTTTTCAGATTTTTTTTTAATTTTAAAACTATTATATCGACATTAAATTTAATTTTATAAAATTTTAAAATATTAATTTAATTTTTTAAGAAATTATAAAAGTTTGGACTCAAAAATTAAAAGTTAAATTTGAATTTATATTTAATATATTAATTCATTTTTAAATTTTTTTATTTACGAATTAAAAGATTAAAAATTTATTAAACGAGTTCAAAAATTAAATTTATAATTTAATCAATTAATAAATTATATATATATATATATATATATATATATATATATGTTTTTGTCCTTTTTCTAATTATTCAACTATCAAAATTAATTTTATAATAAATATCTAGGCATACATCCTTCGACACTAAGGTTCAATTCCCACGTAAAATGAGATTTAAATTTATTTTTTTTAATTATTCTTATCAAGTTTCTAAATTAAAAAAAAAAAAAAAACAAAAACCAAATATGTTTGTAAATTCTTTAATTATTTGTTCGTGGTATGTGTTAGATGAACACGACTCTCCACAATAGCATGATATTGTCCTCTTTGAAGTTCTCGTGGCTTTACTTTGGGCTTTCACAAAAGACTTTGTACCAATGGAGAAAGTATTGTTTAATTATAAACAAATGATCATTCCCTAAATTAGCTGATGGGGACTTTCATCATCGAACACTATGAAGATAATTTCGAAGAAATGATAAAATATGGGTCAAAATTCTCGCAGATCTCCTTATCATCGAGAAACCTACAGAAGTCAGAATAGGAAGAGGAAAAATAAATCCTACGAGTTTAGGATTATTTGTGTGTCCACGAGACAAATCCGGTTTGAAATATATGGTTTGAGTTAAGTAAATTACTTTAAATTTTGTATTACAATTTTTTAAATTTTTAATAAAAAAAAAATTAACGAATATTCTTTTAAAATTAATTTAAAATAACGTCTCATTTTAGGTTATTTGACTAACATTTTATCAGATCTTTAGTGTAATTCTAAAACCGATAAAATATAATATTGCACTTTTTGAAATAATAGACATATTTTATATCCCGAGAAAAAAAAATCAAGAAATATTTTTATAATTTCATACGTAAAAATATAATGTAATATTTAACTAATGTAATTCTTAAAAATTCAAATTTTATTAGGAAAAATTAGTCATAAATAACTTATTTACTATAATAAATAAATAAATAATTAGGGTCGGGAAATGAAAATGAAAAAACTCTTCTTGTTCTTTCTTCGGTTCTCCACTTCGATCGAGCCGAAGAACCTCATTCCCGCAAATTTAATAGATCTCTATTTACTCTACTATTTATCGTATCATGTCAAATTATTATTTATTAATTAATTAATATATTACATTAATATTTAATTGTGTTAGATTTAAATTCAAACAATATTGTAAAAAAAAATTAACAAACACGACTAAATAAATAAAATTATTAATTATTAAATTCTAAACGGAACTCGAGTTTCTCTCGAGACTTATATGTTAATCATGACGCCGCACGGTTGAAAATATATGAGCCGTGAAAGTCAATAGTCAACTACGTACGGAAGGAAGGTAAGGCTGGCAGCTTAGTCGACCCAAATGCACCGTTTCCCAAGTTAGTGGGCCCCACACAAGTTTTGAAACGCTCAATATAAAAGTCTTTATTTCTTTTATATGAATAATAATAATAATAAATAAATAAATAATAAATAAACAAAATGTATGAATTTAATATTTATTTTATTTCCAAATTAAACATGAAAAAAAGTCTTTATTTCCAAATTTTGATTCTTTATCAATTTAATGTCTTATATCACACGAAATTATAATTTTCAACCATTTAAGTAATTACTTTTTTTTTTAATTAACCAATAAAATATATATTAGTACTCAAAATTCTAAAAAAATATTATCGAAAATAAATAAATATATATATAATATTCAACGGTTCTTTTTACACCCAGTAAAAATTACTAACATATACCAAAATTGTTCTGTAAAAGATTCCTTACCAAAGGTAGCCAATATTTGTTCATTTTCCTTTCAAACAATGATTTTTTTGTCACATTACATTTTTTTTCTATTTAGTCGACCTTTACAAAATAAATAAATAAATAAATAGTGAATTGATCCGTAACTTTTGAGATAATAATTGATATCTTATCTAGTGATCGGAGAAATTTCTAGAATGCAAAATTAATCGTCTTTTTAGATATGGGTCATATTTGTTCCAAGATCATAATATATTAAATAAACTGAATTAATAAAATATTTTTGAACTTTTCACCTTTGTCCCAACTTGAATTTTTTTTAATAATACTCTTTAAGTTTTTTAAAAAATAAAATTAAAAACTTTTATTTTTATAGTTAATTTTAGATAAGTGAATTTCAAAAATATTAAAAATACTAATGAACTTTTCCAAATAACGTTGAGGTTTTGTCATGTATAATTGTTTTTTCCGATTATTTTTGTATAATTTTATTAAATTATTTATTTAAGAATAGTTATTAATATCTATGGCTAAATACCCTAAAAAAAAACTAAGGATTTAATGCATATTATTTATATTATACTCATTAATGAATAAAAATAATTCACAAACACAATTATTAGATTCTCGAACATCTTAAATAAAATTTCATACCAAATGAACCCTAAAATGAATAAGTTGTGTAAATTCAGATACTATCTAAAATGAATAAGTAACATGAACGAATATAAAAATATACTTAGTACGTAACTCACTCAGATTTATCGACATCAATCACACTTAGAATTAACATATCGTGTATCTTATATACCTTTAATAGTAATAACATAGACTCTTAATCATAGGTTATTCATTATGAGAATATTAGAATAAGACTTTGTCAACTCTTCCGAGTTATACAACACTAAAAAGTCTTACAACTGAGTTCGTGGTAGGGTTTTCAATTTGGATATCTCATCTAGCTTTTTCGAGTCATTTCAACAATTGAGTTCACATCATCTAGCTCTTTAGAGCTCACCTAAATCGCTAGTATCACCTAACTTAACCTTAACCCAGTGTTAGATTCACATTATTTAGCTCCTTCGAGTTCAACTCAATCATTAGTGTTACATGACCTACCCAGTGATTGCCAAAAACTATCTACGGTTGGCGTCATGTGATCTATTCCTTGATTAGATTCATATGAATCACTTAACTTAGCTATGCTCTTTACTATTTCTTTTGGACGTTCCAAGTCTAGAACACCTATACCCTCTATCACATCAAAAAAATTTACAACTAGAAATTAGTTAACGACTCTTCTAACGCTCTTCATATAGTCACAACTATGTGGTAAAGTGACCCTACTATTTATCAACTATCTCAATATTATGTCAATCTCCGTCCATGCTAACAAGTTTATAGGAAAAGGTAATGTGAGGAAACTAAAAACTACAAATGAAGATAAAGTTGTCTAAAATTAATAAGATCTAGCCACAATTGCAAGTGATTCAACATCTGCCCTTCATTTTATCATTTCAGACACAACTAAACTGGGATCAAATACCATGACAGAATCAAAGGACTAAAAGACCTGCTAATTTTACAAGATCACTGCCTTACAATCATCTATATCATCTACACTAGAATTCTAACTCAGATACTCGTTCCAAGATTCTACAATGTAAATGAACAAGAGTTTCAGAGATCTGACCTTAAAAGCTTTATCATTCTTCTTCATCAGCTTCAGCAGCAGCTATCTCCGAATCCAACTTGTTTAGTAATTGCTCGCTCACATGTTTGCCCACGGAAATCATGTCAAGGATTACGCTTGGATCGACCCCAGCACCCCCTCGTTTGGTCAATCCACAGACATGACCGTGCCTGTTGACGGATATGGAGATTGCAGAGCTCATTTGAGATTCCTCTTCCAAAGTAGCATCCACAATGTAGTGCCTACCCACCTTTGTCAATGTAACTATGACCGGAACTCCAGATGTGTCAAACTGTAGAAATTCTTCATCGCTTACGTCAACTTCGGGTTGTTCATTGGCGGACGCTTCTACAGAAACATTGACTTTTGGTATGCCTGTATTGCTCAAAGCAGCCTTGCGAAGAGGATGAGGGTTTTGTTAGTTTCAGCTTTAACTACCAGCAAGATATTCTTGATAGCAACCGTGATTATTAAAAGATCTACTAAAATATGAAGGGTTCAAGTCGTTCGGTAGAGTCCTAAATAAGAGGAAATTATTGTAGATCTCGAAACCGAAAGAGAAAAATATAGGCTCAAGGGACTTCAGTTGCAAAATGTGACTTGCTCAATCAGAAATAATGACAGATATAAGCAGAGACCATACACGGACATGATACTGATGTTTGTTGTACATTGCTTTGGTCAAACTAGCAAAGCTTATATGGTCATGCAGCCTAGTATAAACAATAAGTACAAAACCTGGTTATTTAAGTAAACACATCAGACATAGAAGAGTAGACAACATTCAAGAATCAAAATGTACCTTAATCGCAGCACCAAGGGCATCTAGAAGATTGCCGTCTGAGCTTACAACAAGGCCCTCAATATAAAGATCCCAGCAAAGCTTCCCTTCCACAACTATCAGAGATGAAAGGTCAATCCCAGCCCCTGAGGCAACAAAAGCACGATTGTTAATCAAGGGCAAAAGTTCTTGATCAAAACAAGGGAAGTGAATGTTGAAGATTATTGGGAGTGAGTCCCACATTGGATAATTTAGGGAACGATCATGGGTTTATAAGTGAGGAATACTATCTCCATTGGTATGAGGCCTTTTGGGCAAGCCCAAAGCAAAGCCATGAGAGCTTATGCTCAAAGTGGACAATATCATACCATTGTGGAGATTCGTGATTCATAACATGGTATCAGAGCCATACTCTAAACTTAGCCATGTCGATAGAATCCTCAAATATCGAACAAAGAATTGTGAGCCTCGAAGGTTTAGTCAAAAGTGACTAAAGTGTCGAACAAAGGGTGTACTTTGTTCGAGGGCTCCAGAGAAAGGAGTCAAGCCTCGATTAAGGGGAGGCTATTCGAGAGCTCCATAAGCCTCAGGAGAGGCTTGTAGTGTACTTTGTTCGAGGGGAGGATTGTTGAAGATTATTGGGAGTGAGTCCCACATTGGCTAATTTAGGGAACGATCATGGGTTTATAAGTGAGGAATACTATCTCCATTGGTATGAGGCCTTTTGGGGAAGCCCAAAGCAAAGCCATGAGAGCTTATGCTCAAAGTGGACAATATCAGACCATTGTGGAGATTTGTGATTCATAACAGTGAATACTATCAATCTACTTTTTTAGTCATGAGTCAAACCTGCACCACTTTTTCCTCCTAAGAGGCATCGCTCAAGGGCAACCGAGAGTTCTGTTGCCAACTCTTCACCACCCCTACCCTATATTCGGTGAAAAACCAAATTATTACAAGCACACCAAAGGCACATATGGAAAAGAAACTACACAAGTTGATGTGATGCACATGGATACCAGTTCAGTTGTTTAACGATTTCTATAGTAAATTACAAACGTTTATAATAGCTTTTCTGTTAGATTATTGTTTTAGCACTTAAAACATTTATTTAACATCTATTGTATCCCCTAACTCTTTTCCATTATTTAATTTGTTCATTCATCTTTGATTAAATGTTAGAACTATGCACTTATACTACCTTTGCTAATATGTTTCCCTTAAAAGAAAGAAATTGGTTTTCAACTTAAAATGAACAAGTAGTGGGTTAAAAGACTCTAGTAAAAGGCTTTTGATGACTATAGTTACTTATTTTTGGAGAGGATTCGTGGGTGGGTGTTAAGCCTCTTTGTGATCTATTTATTCACATTTATTATTTTTCTGACAAGAGGTTACACTCAGTGGCCTCTATCTTGTCGATCTCTAATTCATCCTCTTCACTGTCACTGGGTTTTCTCTTCTCACTAATCACAAGTCTTTGGAGGTAGTGGGATTTTTTACACTATTCTCCTATCCATAGGGTTTGGGCTCTTAATATGTCTAAAGACTTAATGTATTAGTCTTTTCCCATCACTCTTTGTTCCTCTTCGTCCAATCAGGGGCCTCCTTTTTCCCTTTCCAGAAAGGTGAAAATCCCTAAAAAGTGAAGTTCTTTACTTGGCAAGTTTTACATGGTAGAATGAATTCCCAGAATTACATCAAGTGAAATTCTTCCTTAATGTTGTGTCAATAATGGTGTGTCCATCGTCATGTTGACGAGGATCTTAATCAGCATTTGAGAGGTTTTCAGCTTGCTTACTCCCTATGGACTGGTTTTTTAGGGCCGTTACATGAGTAATAGGGACTATCACTCTATGTCAAGGGCGATTATGATGAAATCTCACTTCTAAAATAAAGGAAAAGTTCTGGGGCAGGCTTGTTCATTTGCTATTCAATGGGGAGTCTTGTGGCAGGCTTGTTTGTCACTATTTTCAAAAGCACAAGAGGTTTGTCGAGGAGGTGTCAAAAGTTGTGAGATTTAATGCATCGTTATAGATATCTTTGAATCATTCTTTTCGCAGTTATCAGCTTGGGTTATTCTTTGGGATTGGAGTCTGTTCCTATAATTCATTGAGGACTCCTTCAATGGGGTTTTTTTCTTGTATGATTTCTGTGCGCATGAATCATTAAAGTTTGGAGGAATGATCATACCTAGTTAATCATAATCCAAGTAAGAATGAAAACCATACTATCATTGAAAATAAGGTTAAGATCCTTCAAGTTTCAAGGTAGATTTGTTTGCAATATCCAATTGTTAGATTATGTTGGTTAGTGATAAATGTGCCTCTTATTTAATCCAATTGATCAAAATCCTACTACTTTCAAAATTTAATCAAGAATAGACAGCAAATTAATCAATGGAAATCCAAATGGAAATCAAGCCCATAGTCAGGAAATCTAAATATCAAGACCTTCATACAAATTATAGCTCCTGATGCTCAACATTCCATTTTTCACTAATGCATAACCTCTTTTTCTCCAACGAAACACCATTTTGCATGGAACAAACAATTTACTGTCATTTCTACACACATGAATGAACAAATTTGTAAAAATAAGCAAGTTTCACACCTCAAACGTTGGCTCTGCAGTCGGGCTGCAATCAACAAATATGGAAACCTTCCCTTTATCAGGCTGCATTGCATTAGGCCTTCCAAGTTCAGCCTGCACTTAAAACATATCTAAGCAGTAATCACCATAACCAATCCAAGTTTACAGTTTCAAAAACGAAAAACAGAGCGGTTGCAGTGTTTTGGATAGAAACTGGTGAAGAGTACAATTGAAAGAGAAAGAAGCTCAACGCATTTATACCTTGACAGTAGCAATAACCTCAGTACCACCCATTCTGACCCTTGCTGAACCATTCGCCTAAACATAAGTGAATTGAGAAATAAAACCACATAAAGAGCAAGAACAGAACAAGAAAAGAAGGCATAAATATACTACTCTGTTTTGATTATACCTGAGAGATCACATCCGTTTCTACGGAAATGGGCCGATAAGTTAGTCTCCTTCGACCATCGGTGCGAAGATCCTGAGCAATACCACCTTGTATGAAAAGCTTTTCTCCAACCGAAAGCCCCTTCATTCCTACTTCTGGTGAACCACACAAAACCAGCTGGAAATTAAACCCAGAAGACGAAGGTTTCGACAAAGTTGAGTTGGAACATTGGGGTTTTAGCATAAACTAGAGATTAAAGAAGAAGAGAAGATAGATGTTACTGACATCGAGGGACGGCGGCGCTGCTCGTGCTTTGTCGGCGACAAGGCCTTCGGTGTTCGCCGAGCCGGTGTGCGGACCTCGGCAAAAGAACACAGGGGCTGCGACCCGCAGGCCAGAAATTGCAGGGTGATAGGAAGAGAGAGAAGGAAAGGGTGACCGACGAACAGCTCCGGCGGAGAGGGCGGAGAGGGCGCGCGCGGTAGAGATGGCGGAGAAGGAAGAGTGGAGTGGGCTACCAGCAAAAAATGGGTTTAGGGTTTTTCATTTATTTTTGTTTTGTTTTTTTTTTTTTTGGCAAGTTCCAAAAATACTGTACTGTAAAAAAAAATACAAAATTAAAGTAATTTTTTAAAAATAAATAAGAAATTAAAATAATATTTAAAAGAAATTACAAAAGTATATTAGTGGGCAAACTATTGATAATAATAGGATTATTGTGATTTTAAATTGCAAAATAACATTAATTTATTAATTTATTATTAGTTTATTTTAAATATAAAGCTATTAATTAATATTGGCTTTTTCTATTTGTCAATTTATATAGTCTATAAATTTTTTTTTAAAGTACTTTTGTTTTATAATTAATAATATTGCATTAAATAAAAATATAAGCGGTAAAATATTACCTATGATGTCAAGTACTAACAAAGATGGTTGCTTTCTCGTTACACGACGAGTCCGAGTTCGAAGTACTTCTAGTATAGAAGGTGCTTAGTTCAGGTCTAGATCTTGAATATCTTAAACTCATTGTTACTGGTGCTTGCGATGAGCACGTCTCTCATCAATGCTAGTAACGGTTAGTCTTTTGGTATTTTGAATGATATTAGTTAGATCTACGATGGATTGAACCTCAACGAAAGAACATAAATCAAGATGAAGTCGGAGTCTATACTTGTTGAAATGTAGTGTACCTTTTGAATTTGTTGGATGGATAGTCGAGCCTAAGTGGTTTCTGGTCATCTATCTTATGTTTCTTGGCCTCTTGATCGGTTTTTTCTTTTCATGTAATTGGTTTGATCTACTTTTAGGTTCATCAACACCTTCTTTCTACAGAGTAATTCTTTGGTGCTCACGACTGAGTAATAGGCAACAACGCGACTCTATCATTACAACCTTCAACAAGTAAACCTTCATTATTGAATCGAGTTATATATTCTCATAGGGTCTCTTTGGATACGTGTTTGATGGAAAGTAAGATTTCATTTATTTTTAGATGGTTACAAATTTCCGAAGAATACTTGAAAACTAGATTTTTAGTGTTTCATTAATGTATTTTAAGTTTATTTTTATAATACATTTACATAGTGACTAATTACAGTCATACAAAAGGTTACAAACTCTTGAGATGGCTCATGAGAGGTCAATGGTTTCATTTTGAGGTTATATAAAGTCATGTATCTTTATAGAGGAGACTGGAAAATGTAGTAAAAAGAGCATATCTGATTTCCTTTAGTCAATGGCTAAGTTTCTTTACAATTCTATATAGTTTAGATTGCATGTTTAGAATTTAAGCTAGACATGATCGATTTTACTTTAGCAGTGAATCGAATCTCAAACAAGTGTTATTGCCTTAAGATATTCAATAAACAAAATAATCTGAATCTTACTCCTATTGTAGTGATTCCTTATCACATATAGTTAGAAACTAATACAGGAGGATGCAAGTGTTGAGAATGTTAAACATATTCGAGATATTCGATTGAACTTTTATCTCCTTCGATGATATAAGTAATCAGAGTGAGTTAGGAAACAAGCAAGAAGAACTCAACTCACTATGAGACTTCTCTTTTCTCTCTCTAGTTTAATTTTAGTCATATATTTTTAATAAATCTTAAAATTAATTTTTAAGTTTTTTTAGGCGGGTGAAAAAGTAATAAATAATTTCATTTAATAGAAGAGATAATGTAAAATATGTTTCAAAATTTATAGATAAATTATTAGTATATACTAATTTTTTTATAAAAAGTTGCTGATAAATTATGTGAGATCCCACTCGGGGAAGAGAACGAAACATTTTTTATAAGGGTGTGAAAACCTCTCCCTAACAGACACATTTTAAAAACTTTGAAGAGAAGCTCGAAGGGGAAAGTCCAACGAAGACAATATCTAGTTTGAACCGTTACAAATGGTATCAGAGTCAGACGCCAAGTGATGTGCTAGTAAGGGGGCTGAGCCTCAAATAGGGGTGGACATGAGGCGATGTGCCTAGCAAGAAGGTTGAACCCTAAAGGGGGTGGACATGAGCCGGTGTGCCAGCAAGGACGTTGAGCCCTGAAAGGGGATGAATTAGGGGGTCCCACATCGATTGGAGAAGGGAGCGAGTGCTAGCAAAGACACTGGGCTCCAAAAGGGGTGGATTGTGAGATCGTATATTGGTTGGAGAGGAGAACGAAACATTTTTTATAATGGTGTGAAAACATATCCTTAACAGACGAATCTTAAAAATTATAAGGGAAAGTCCGAAAAGAAAAGTTTTTAGGAAGGAAGAAGACGTTGGGCATTAATTTTTTTCCAAAAGGATCTGTCTTTCATAGTAAGAAGTTGGGAGTGAATCATGAGGCTGAAAGAGGGCTAACAGGAGAGCGATTGTCCACGTGGTTGGTGACCAAGTGGAGCAGCGGATGAAGAACTCGTTTCTCATTGGTCCGAAATCTATCCAACACCCTCCCACAGATTTCCCCTCCAGATTCTCATCAACACACATGGCTCCATTTAAACCCACAATTCAATTCACAACATCTCCCACAGACCCTTATCTTAAAATCATAAAACAAAGCTCACTACATACCTGAAACTTCCACATCTCAGAAGAAGCCATGGCTGCAACGGCTGCAACTTCTGGTGCTCTGCTTAATGGGTTAGGCTCACCCTTCCTCCATGGAGGTAGCAGAACCCAAACCTTGCTGGCCGGTGCCAGAGGCGGTGTCAATGTTGTCAGCTCTCGCAAGCTTGTCATCGTCGCTGCTGCTCAGCCCAAGAAGTCTTGGATCCCCGCTGTTAAGGGCGGCGGCAACTTCATCGACCCGGAATGGCTCGATGGCTCGTATGTCTCTCTCTTTACTGTTTTTGTTGTAAAATTTTCAGTCACTGTTTAGAACCTGCTGTTGGAAGAGGCATTTCAGTTTTAGAACAGGCATTTTATCACACTTTCTGAGCAATTAGTGTTTAGAATCAAGATGAGACATTTCATCCAACACTTTCTAGGCACTTGCTGTTTTCCATAGGCATTTTATCAAACACTTTCTAACCGATATAGACATTGTTAGGAATCACGATTCTACACAATGGTATGATGTTGTCTACTTTCCGCATGAGTTCTTTTAGACTCCCCAAAAGACCTCGTACCAATGGAGATGTATTCCTTCCTTATGAACTCATGATCATTCCCTAAATTAGCCAATGTAGGACTCCCTCTCAACAATTCTCAACTATCCTCCCCTCAACAAAGTACACTATAGAGCCTCCCCTGAGGCCTATGGAGTTCTCAAACAGCCTCCTCTTAATCGAGACTCGACTCCTTGAACAAAGTATACCATTTGTTCGACATTTGAGTCACTTTTGACTACACCTTTGAGGCTCACACCCTTTTTGTTCGACATTTGAGGATCATATTGACATGGCTAAATTAAGAGCATGACTTGTTAGGAATTACGGCTCTCCACAATGGTATGAAAGTATCTACTTTGAACATAAGCTCTCATGGCTTTGCTTTGGGCTTCTCCAAAAGGCTCATTCCAATGGAGATAATATTCCTCACTTATAAACCCATGATCTTCCACTAAATTAACCAATGTGGGACTCACTCCCAATAATCCTCAACATGACTCTTATACCAATGTTATGAATCACAACTCTCTGCAATAGTATGATATTATTCACTATAAGTATAAGCTTTCAAGACCCGTACCGATAGAGATGTATTCCTTATTTATAAACTCAGGATCATTCTTAACCATTCTCAACAATTACTGTTAAGAATACATGGAAGAGGCATTTAATCAAACAGTTTCTAGGCCAATTCAAAACTCTGAAAGAGACATTTCATCAAACAGTTCATAAGCAATTACCTGTTTGGTTTCTACAGACTACCAGGCGACTACGGCTTCGACCCACTGGGGTTGGGGAAGGATCCAGCATTTCTGAAATGGTACAGAGAAGCAGAGCTAATCCACGGGCGGTGGGCAATGGCAGCAGTGGTCGGAATCTTCATCGGCCAGGCCTGGAGCGGGATCCCATGGTTCGAAGCCGGAGCCGATCCGTCCGCAATCGCTCCATTCTCCTTCGGATCACTGCTCGGAACACAGCTTCTACTAATGGGATGGGTCGAGAGCAAACGATGGGTAGATTTCTTCAACCCGGAGTCTCAATCCGTGGAATGGGCAACGCCATGGTCGAGGACCGCAGAGAACTTCGCAAACGCAACGGGAGAACAGGGGTACCCAGGAGGGAAATTCTTCGATCCATTGGGATTTGCAGGAACTCTCAAGGATGGAGTTTATATTCCAGACACGGAGAAATTGGAGAGATTGAAGCTGGCGGAGATCAAGCATGCTAGAATCGCCATGTTAGCTATGCTCATCTTCTACTTCGAAGCTGGACAGGGGAAGACGCCATTGGGGGCTCTTGGATTGTAGAAAATAATTCGTTGATGTGAAGGAAAAATTGTTCATATTTTCACTAAAAACACTTTGGGATTGAACATGTTTTGATGAATTTGAGATAGATTTTGAAGGGGTTTTTGAATTAACAACATCATCTACCAATTTATTAGATCAATGATTTGATATGATATCGGAATGTTGTCTACTCCTCGAGCCATCGCATACAGCTCATGCACCCATCTACACGCACACACGTCTCAGCTGTCTAGCCTCCCGCTCGCTTGACCTCGTGACACCCCACATCGAGTGTTTCACGTTTTATGTCATAGTCTGTTGTCTCTTCTGACCCTTATAATTACTGATCGTTAATTTTTCCTACCCTGAGTTATATGTTATCAACCTAGTTCTTGTCCGACCCCAAACATTTATATTAAAGAGCTCGACATCTAATAATTATATGTCACCCCCGTTATCCGAGACTCTGATATTCACTCACTTTCCTTAAAGTAATATCGACTCTCGATCCTTTATACTCGAGATTTTGATGTCCAAAACTCTTCCTTTAATCACAATGCTAGTTGGTTTAGTTGGTGAAGACACGAATCATGTGGATAATATTTTGACATTCTTATACTATATTAAAGTTGGACTCGAACCATTACAATATTTGTAATGGATAATTGTACGTAACACTAATGTAAATAAAGTCATTGCAGGCTAGTCCAGACAACTTGAGTCTTTCCCGGTTTTGTTAGTTGTAATGGGTCCTAAATTTCTGGGAATCCCTCACAAATTCATAACGATAGAAATAAGTACTCCTCCATTCCCGGGAGCCACCGCCATCTTTCTAGAGCTATTGCTATCGCTTTTCATAGATGTAACAACTTAACGCTCATTGGTGCCATTGCTTTCACCATGGTCGCTACTTTTGTTGTCCATTTCAATATCGAAAGAGAATATTGTGTTTAGAGATGCCTGTGGGGCGTGGACGGGAAAGTCTTTCCCATTTCTGTCTCCACTTCCTATTTTATTTTCTATCCCGGGAAAATTTCATAATAAAGGGAAAACACTGAATTTTTATATAATGGTCCAGAAACGCCTACTCTACTCCCTAATACTCCGTTTGGAGTATTTATTGCAACGACTTTCTGGTACGTAAATCGAATATTCATTCTTTTTATGGGTTCAAGAGTAGATATTGAACTTATTCTATGGTAGGTTTAGAACTTAACCTATATTGATTTTTTAACTGGTTTAATATCAAAATCATATGATATGATTCAATTTCATAAAACTAACGTGAATATAGACCAAATGTAATAATAAATTGCACATAATAGATCGACCAATAGAGTGACTATTCGATTAATGTGATTGAGAATCGTGTTTGTGAGATCCCACCGATGTGTGCCAACGAGGACACTGAGCCCTAGGAGGGTGAATTGTGAGATCTCATATTTGTTGGAGAGCATAGCGAAACACTCCTTATAAAAGGTGTGAAAATCTCTCCCTAACAGACGCGTTTTAAAAAAGTGAGGCTTGAGGCTTGAGCTATTACAAATCGTTACGACGTAGGCCCACCGCAAGCAGATATATTGTTCTTTTTGGGCTTTCCCTTTCGGGCTTTAAAAGCCGTCTCGTAGGGGTAAGGTTTCCACACCCTTATAAATGGTGTTCTCCTCCCCCACTAATGTGCAACATCACAATCCACCCTCCCTCCTTCGGGGCTCAGCGTCCTCGTTGACACTCTTTCCTTCCTCCAATCGATGTGGGACCGCTATCAAATCCACCTCCCCTTCGGAGAACAGCGAGATATTGTTCTCTTTGAGCTTTCCCTTTCGGGCTTTAAAATGGAAAGTTTCCACACCCTTATAAACGATGTGTTGTTCTCCTCCCCAACCAATGTCCAAATGGTATAAGAGTCAGCACGGAACCCAAAATGGACAATGTCTGTTAACAGTAGGCTTCGCTTATTACTAATGGTATCAGAGGCAGACATCGAGGTCGGGGACAATATCAGGTACCGATAGACTTAGTTACCAATAAATAATACTAACGACTGGAGATTCAATCAACCAATAATTTCACATATTAAAAATTTAAACCTAAAAGGGATTGATGTTTTCCCAAATTAAATAATTTAATTTGATTGAGGAAAAGGAGAATAGAGGGAGAAGTCCATAAAAGTGGGGAAAAGAGGACACCTGCGATTTGGAAGATATCCTTTCCTCAAAAGGCCGCCTGTCTCCCTCCTTCCTCCTTTTGTTTGTTATCACTTTCCCTCTATTCCCATTCCCTCCCCCACTGACCTAAATCCATTCTCCACGACCTTCACCTCCGTATCCATGGTGGGCGACGCCCACTTTGTTCAGACGCCGCCCAATTCCAAGAAATCCAAGAAGAAGAAGAAGAAGCGAGGCGGCACCAAGAAGAAGATGACTTCTGAGCAAACTGCGGCGTTTAAGTATGTCACGGAGTGGGTTTATTTGGATCAATCTAATTCTCTTGCCTCCACTGCTGCGGCGTCTGTTGTGGACGATTTTGGAGTTCAGAAAACTCTTGGCAAAGGTGGGGAGAAGGTCGTCTTTGACTTGCATTCGCATTCCAAATTCAGTGATGGATTTCTTTCCCCTTCGAAGCTGGTGGAGCGAGCTCATGGAAATGGGGTGATTCTTTCTTGTTTTTTCTTCCTGTTCTTCTGCTTTGTTTACTCAAAACTCTCGCTATTGAAATCCTTCTTCTCCCTGTCTGTTCTTCTGTTCTTATCCTGTTTCTGATATAGAATTTACTCTCAAATTTACATTCAAAAATGGGTGTTAGATGCAGAACAACACTTAACAATCTGTGCTACTTGTGAGATGAAACCTTTGGATTGCCAATATACCCTGTTTCTATTGTTCAGGTTTCTTCAGTAATCTGTGCTGTTTTTTTAAAAGATTTGGTATCACATTCATCTAAAACATTTATGTATAATTTGTTCAAGCATTACATTATTGTTCTTGTATTTTGTAGCCATATCTGTCATGCTTTAGTTAATTAGAAACATGTACCAACAACAGGTGAAAGTTCTTGCTTTGACAGATCATGATACAATGTCTGGTATCCCAGAGGCCATCGAAGCAGCTCGTAGATTTGGTATCAAAATAATTCCGGGTGTCGAAATCAGTACGATATTCTCTTCAGGGTGAGATCTTTGTTTCTTTTTCCCTCTTTGATGTTAAAATTCTGGAATTTGTTTGCTATTATAGTACTCTCCTCAAGGTACGTTTTGTTTGTATTAAAACTCTGAGATTTTCATGCTTTTTTGATACTATTTAATGCAACATTGTGTTCAGTTGTTGAAAATTTTGTTGAATTGTGCCATAACATCTGTGTCGAGTTTTCGTTTGAAATAACTTTTGACCTTCTGATACATGGTAACTGATTTGGAGCAGTAACTCAGAATCAGAAGAACCAGTACACATCCTTGCATATTACAGCAGCTGTGGACCAGCAAAGATTGAGAAGTTGGAGAACTTCTTAGAAAATATAAGAGAGGGGCGGTTTTTGCGTGCAAAGAACATGGTGTCAAAACTGAATGAGCTAAAGCTGCCTCTTAAATGGGATCATGTGGCTAAGATTACTGGTAAAGGAGTTGCTCCTGGGAGACTCCATGTGGCTCGTGCCATGGTTGAAGCAGGCTATGTCGAAAATCTAAAACAGGCATTTTCTCGTTACCTTTTTGATGGTGGACCGGCTTACTCAACGTGAGAATCTGAACTTGCTGAGCTTTCTTTTATCATGGATTGTTGAACAATATTGATGCATCGTGGCTAAATAAGGGTGTGATATATCCTGCTCCATTTGTTTACCGCAAGCATCGGCATAGACTAATCCCTCCTACTTGAAGGCTATCATTTGAGTCATTATGTTCATGAAATTGAAATAGACCGTTCAAATCGATTTTCGTCCATAATTTTAAACAAGGTCACTAGTAAGTATGGCCACATGGATGTTTAAGTTACATATCTAGTTGATTTTGCTTCATGTATATGTCTATTGTTCTTTCTCATTCATACTTAACTTCATGGGATGTGGAATTTCTTCGGCTTCTTTATGTGTAATGGCCCAAGCCCACCGCTAGTAGATATTGTCCTCTTTAGGCTTCCCCTCAAGGTTTTTTGAACGCGTTTGGTAGGGAGAGGTTTTCACACCCTTATAAAGAATTCGTTCACCTCCCCAACATTCGGGGCTTAACATCCTCGCTGGCACTCGTTCCCTTCTCCAGTCTATGTGGGACCCTCAATCCGCTCCCCTTCGAGGCCCAGCGTCCTTGCGACACACCTTCTCATGTCTACTCCCTTTGGGACTCAGCCTCATTGCTGGCATATCGCCCGGTATCTGACTTTGATACCATTTGTAATGGCTCAAGCCTACCCCTAGCAGATATTGTTCTCTTTGGGTTTTCCCTTTTGGGTTTTTCCTCTAGGTTTTTAAAACGTGTCTGCTAGGGAGAGGTTTCCACACCGTTATAAAGAATGTTTCGTTCTCCTCCCCAACCGATGTGGGATCTCACAATATGCATATGCATCTTTATCTGCATATGATTCCGTGGAAGAAGGAATCCTAAGTTTACTTAAAATGCCAGGACATGAGAAGAGCTTACTTAATTTTCCTGGTTTAGTTTTGGACGAAACTAATCATATCACTTGTTAGCAGGCTGTGAATCTGTCTCTATGTTTCTGTACTTAACCTATGCGTTTGAGTCGGACTTTCTTTCTTGCTCGTTATGAAGATGGTGGCGGGATATGCATACTTGTTAGCCAAAATGTTCGTTATTTGGATTGGGTAAAAGTACGTCTTGCCCGGTTTTGAAACCGTAACAATGAGAAACGAGTTTATTTTCCAGGGGATCAGAGCCTTGTGCAGAGAAAGCAATACAATTGATACACGAAACAGGGGGTGTGGCTGTCCTAGCTCATCCATGGGCCTTGAAGAATCCTGTTGCTATCATTAGAAGATTGAAAGATGCCGGTCTTCACGGGCTGGAGGTTTACCGGAGCGATGGAAAATTAGCAGGTACACAATTCGCTCGGCCATATATACTTTCTTGTTATGTTATAAGCATGCTCTTGTTTTTCCAGTATTCTAGAATGGTCTGAAAAAT